TGTTTTTAAACTATTGCTCAACATGGATATTTGTATATAAAATTGTTTCATATTTTAAGAATAAATTCTGAAGGAACTTTTAGTCTGTCAGATTAAATAAAATACTTAAAATGTCTGATTCTTATCAAACTATTTTTTTTCCTAGAAAACATCTTTCTTACTGCCTAATCTCTTGAATTTTACTGCCTGCTTCATAGGAAGTCTGAAACGAACACATGAAGAAGAGGAGGAAGAAAGCAGTGTACAAGCAGCAGCTCAGAATGGTTGACAGCTGAAGATACCTGGACTTGATTGTTGGGAGTTTTATAGCAGCTTCTAATCTTGGCAAGAACAACCAGATATGAATTTAAAAATGGAAGATGATTCTAACTTCCTTATGCAAACCTGTTCCTTCAGTAGCATACAAGGCAACATTTTTAAGGTATTAGATTCCTTGACTGACTAGAAGGCACTGATTGTTTTATTGTTTTTTTTTTTTACACTTTATGGTTTTACCCTTGCCCCAAAGTTTTGGACTTACAAAGAGGTATTATTGCAATAATGCACTTTTCATACTTGAAATTTATTTGTATTGATAAAATTATTACTTAAGCAAAACATGTGTTGGGAGATTATTATTTATATCATTTTATGTAATTTATAAGAAGAGTAAAAAGAAAAAAAATACTTAAATTAACCATGGATTGTATTTTCCATTTTCCAAATTTAGGCTTTAGGCAGAAGAAAATAATTAAACTGCTGTGATTATCTTGAAATAAAAATAGGGATCATTATCACTGATATACTAAAATAGAAAACAAATATTTTCTTTCAAATAAAGAAAATATATTTTTGTCTACACTTGGCTTCCAGACGAAAAGCAAGAGTCCATTGTAAGACAATTTTTCTAGTATGAATCAACAAAATATTCAGGCAGGCAAATATCGATGTGATTATTGACCCTTCAAGCTAGACACAATCATATTTTTTTCCCAATATTTCATCCTGGGCTTTTAGAAAAAACATCTGGTGTCTGTTAATTTACATTTTAATTCCATACAACCTTCAAGATCAATGGAGCACCTATCTACATCCATTCAGCCCAAACTGAAATGTTTAGATGCATTGTTTGAAGTTTAAAAAAAGGCTAGTATTGCTTTCCCTGTTCTGTCTGTTTAGCAAATGAGTTGCAGACGTTTGCAGGGGGAAAAACCCTTAAAAGAATGCTTCCCATTTTCTTTCATTACCCAAAGCCACTTATCAGAAAGTCTTACTGAATTTCAAAGATTGATTGTATGCCCTTTCCTTCAGTGCTATTATAACTTCAAATGTTCACTGAAAGATTGTAACTTGTGAACTACCTATATTATAAAAACAATGACAATTTTATTGAAATGACATTTATTTCAACAAATTACCATTGGTAATTTCAATTTGTGTCTTCATAAGAATTTGGGAAACTTTTATATATATTTTAGTACACGTGATAATCTAGATGTCAATTTAAATATCCTTGTTATGGGTAATGGGTGCATGTGTTGTTACCCAAAGAAAAACCAGTGTTACCCAATTTGGGATAATATACCCAGGTTTCTGAAGCATTTTATTTTAATCAGAATTTGAAACACTGATTATTCTGCTTATGATGAGGAAAGAATAGTAACATTGATGGAATATGTGCTTATTCATCTAATAAGAGCAGAATTTAGAAAAGCATGGAAGAGCTGTAAAATATACTTTGGAGAAAATCCTTGCATCTAATTAAACAGCACTTGTAGACTGGTGGTGAATATATATATATATTCTTTGATATGTGAAACAATCAGCAATTTTCATAAGACAATGAACTCATGTTTAGTTGTACAGTTCAATTTATGGTCCTTCACAGATGAAGTTTTTAGTTTGAGAAGTAATATAATATTCCCTATCTAATGATATTTGTTTAAAACAGATCACTTTAATAACATTTCCAAAACTATAAGATATCCAACACTAAGAAGAAACCAATACATCAAAATAATCACAAACCCCATTTATTACGGTTTTACAATAATTTTTTTGTAAAATATTAAATAAATATTAAAACACCTTCAGAATTAGAGTACCTTAAAATATGAAATGGAATGACTCCCTATTTTCTGTAGCTATCTGTGATTCAATTTTTGCAGCTAATCATTATAGAAGACTTTCTTACCACATAACCTCATTTAATGGCCACTAATTTCCTTTAAAACAACGGGGAGTTGTTCTTGTTGCCATCCAATAATATGCAGGGGTGCTAAAAGTACTACTCTTCTGGCCTACCTGCATTCCTTTAGAAGTGCTCATTATTCAACTAGAATTTTGCATTTTTAGATGAGTTTTAGGGTCATATGGATGCCTTGTACTTCAGAAACTGTCTTTAAAAACTCTGCAGAAACAGAGTCCATTTTAGACATAGTTCTGATTACTTTTAGAGAGTGGATGAGCCAACGTGGTATGTGTATAATGAAGCAAAGTGCTAAATTATTTCTTCTAAAACAAAAAAAAAACATAATGAAACATTTTTGTAGAGTCTACTGAATACATTGACAATAATTATACTTAATGTAACTAAGATTTTAAGCACAAAATACCTCTGCGAAACCATATATTTTACAGAAAGTATATATTTAAAAATTGATAAATTTTGCATATACAAGTTTTGCTTCAATTTGTGAAATGGTTCAAGACAGACTGTACTGACTATAAGACCTTTGGTTCAACATATCTAAAGGGCACCAAGTTGGAAAAGGCAAAGATGAGGTATTTCGATGCATCAGCCAAAGCATAGAATGCCACTTGTAATAATTTCTCTCCATTGTGAGAACAATAGAACCAATAAAACCAAGCTACACATCTATACTAGGGATTATCCATTTTGAAGTGCATTAAAAGTCAACATAAAAGATAAAACTTGCAAGTGTTTTCCTTGTGACAAAAAATTACAAAAACATTTCCAACATACTAGTTACTGTTTAGCTGCCAACAAAAAGCAGCACATCACAGAAAAATGCAAGGTAAGGAAACAAAGCCCATCAAATTAAAATTTACTTTGGGGAAGAAGCCATCCTTACCTTGCAAAGATGGCTCATTTCCTAGCTATAAAAAAAAATACTGGCTGAATAGGAAACTTCTTATAATAGGTTACCTTGGTAACTAGGAAATCAAAAATCAAAGTCTGCAGCATAGTAGTCTCATATCTATTCATTATTTATTTGCAGGGAATTTGCTTTCTGAAAAGAAGTCAGTAGTACAAGTTCCTCCACCAATAGTTGATTAAGAGATGACAGCTGGAAATTCTTTAATTGAAGAACCTTTGGTACATATAGTTTTCTTCAGATACTGAGTATCCAAACTTTGTATAGAAAGCTACATTTTTTGGCAGACACTCAAGAGTAATTTTGTAGCAATTTAGTCTCTTGCTTAGCAGTGTAAGAGTTGACATCAATCTTTAAAAGAGACAACAAAAAATAAAATTAATTTTTCAGGATGTAAGGACAACTATTTGAGACTGCACCTAATAAGGGGGCATGTCTGTATTTATACCCACTACTATTACTATCAAATGATAGCTACCACGACACTGCTGGGCATCACAATGGCTATCACTCTTAAAATATTTGAAAGGTATTTTTTTAAATAAAGCACTGGAAATCTATGCATTAGCTGCCAATACCATTGGAAATAATGCTTTTTAGGCCCTACATGCTTCCTTCAAACATAAATAGGGAAATACAGCTTATTTTGGGCCATCAGAATAGCATATAACAAACTTTAGATGACTGGAAACTTGCTTTCCCAAAGGGAAACAGCTGGATAGAATGAATTACCTGCTAAGTGCTTACCTATGTGCCAGGTGAACACCAACAGTGTTAATGAAAAAGTTTGGCATATAGCATGTGTTTACTCACAGAATTTTGTTAGCATTTAAGAGGCATCTAGACATCCTTTAATAGTTCCTAATTATAAATGATCAGAGTTATGAATAATTACTTACAGTTTCCCAAGCTGTTTTCCTCTGCAATCTCCACTTACAACAACATCTTCTATTCTGCCCCTCTGAAAATAAGTTAATACTATTTAAAAAGATCAAGTTCCAGAATGTATCCAGAATGCATACTTTTTCTTTAATGTACATACCTTTGCACATGAGTGAGTGAACTTATGTTCTATGACTAAGGTTGCAGTAGCTACAATCGCTCCTAGCTTAGTATCTTCCACAACTGTAACATAGTAGTCCCCAGAACTCCGCATGTGTTCGAAATTTTCTGTGGAAATGTAGGCAGGAATACGAATACTATTGGTAATGGATTCAACAGTTCCTCAGTATCAGGCTTTCTTGCAGCTCTGTCATGTTTGCTAGCTCAGGATGCACTGCACCTGAACTGGGACAAGCAGATGAATAGGATTGTGACAGGATTCTATGGGAAAGGCAAGCATTGACAGCATGGTCAAACTGGCAAACTGCCTACAAACTATGTAATTACTTCAGTTGCTATCTAAGCCAGAGCTATGAGCCAATTGATCCCTCACTCACACAATCCACCTGCAACTCAGTATAAAAAATGGGCAATTGTTTTTAGGGATGGGTTCTGGGCAAAATAGGTGTTTTATCCTCTTCCAACCCATGATCAACATGCAGGAAGCTTTAAGTGGTAATGTAAACTATTTTTCCAAATTTTTAAAAGGGGTATCTTAAGGAGTTAAATCACTATAAAATTTCTGCCACTGAATCTGACTTTCCTTTTCCATTTTTAAAATAGCAAAAAAATTAAAGAGATACTCACCAAGGAATTGCTGGGGGCTAACAATTCCCGTTTCAGTCAGTTGACCTAGAACTTTTAAAAAGCCTAAAAAAAAGTTTTCATATTTTAGGATGTCCTAAGACAAAACCATCAATAGAGCATAGAATGAAAATAAAACTCCACAAATAATATAACAGAACCAACACCATGACATTCTGCATAACAGTAATAAACAATAAACCCCACAAAAATATTTAAAGATGCAAATAGACTTTATTCCAAAATCTTCCAAACAGCAGCTAATCTTCAAATGCATCCCAAGTTCTGCAGCAGCAATGTCTGTGGCCACTACACTTCACACTCAATTGTTTTAAGAATCATGTCAACATATTATGGAAGGAATTAGGAATGCAATTGTAAGAAAATCAAAATATTCAGATTCTGTTATATATTTTAAGCTGAATAGGGACCACAGGATCATAAAAAGGGTTTTTTAAAATGTTGCATATTCTCAGCTTCAAAAGGTTACTGTTCTCCAAAGTCATTATCTGAACTGTTTCTTAATTTTCTCTGGATTAGAGAACAAGTGCTTTGAAGCTTATTACTCTGCTTAATAGAATCTAAGGTTGATGTCAAAAAACTTTCAATTTGACCCAATCATTCCTATTTAATTCAACCATAAAACATACTTCAAAGTAAGTAAATACCTCTGTTGATGTCAGCACTGCAAAGAGGTCTTAGAACTAAACCCTCTCCTGGATCCTGAGGAGAAATAGCAGGAGAAAATGTTGCAGTATTTTGGGTCCAATCAAGCTCTTCAAGAAGGTGAGGATCATACATTGGTGTGTTCTCGAGTTTTTTTATTGCAGCAGGCATCATGGCAACTGAAATTGAAGTAAGAACCATGGAAATTGAATTACACCTTAATTCACACATTTGCCAATATTGTAAAATTGGAGCGAGGAGGGATTTCTAACATTTTTTTAAACATTGTCATCCACAATTCATAAATATTTTTCAATTAATCTTCAATATATCTCCACTGATCACTTTACCTTGTGCAAAATCTTTCCATATTAGCATCTACTTTCTGCCTAAGAAACATGATATATGTACACAAAAGATCATTTCAACTTAGTGTACATGTGCAGAGAAAAAATATAGACTTGGGGCTTCCCTTCTCATTTAAATTTTAGCTAGCTAACTCATTTTTGCCTTTAGTTAAAATTAAAATATTAAACTATGATGCATTCCACCAAATAGTTGGACAAGGATGGCTATGATGCAACAGAAAGTAAATACTAATGCAATATTTACTTCTTGTTAGATATATTTATTGAACTAAAATATAACAGGATCTCAGGTTTAAATGTTCCAAGCATTGTCAAGCACAATACAGAAGCCTGATGATGGCAGATGAGATTCTGCCAAAACGTTGCTACAACTTTAAAAGCATAACTATAATGACGTGGGAAAATACCCGAACAAAACTGAATACCATACATGTAAATACCCGGACTTTGCTGCAAATTATATTTAATATCATCTGGTCAGATATTTTCAGAAAAAAGAATAAAAGAGGTAAAGTAATATTAAACTGAGAGTCATTTTGATGTAGCAATTTAAGGTACTAGGCTAGAATCCCAGAGACTTGAGTTGTGATTTCTAGTCCTTTATTAGGCACAAAGCCAACTGGGTGATCTTGGGTCAGTCAGTCATTCAGCTTCAGTAAGAAGGCAAGGCAAGCCATTTCCTAAAATCTTGCCAAGAAAGTTGCACTTACCAAGAGTCAAGAATGACTTGAAGACATTAAAAATGCAGAATGCAGTTTTATTCCTCCCCTATTTTGGAAAAAGCCTCTTTGAACCAACTGGGATTTACTTCTACCCAGGACTACATCTTCATTCTTTTCAATCTAACAGGATATTGAAAAGATGCTACATATGAGAAATCAGAACTATCCACCTCTGTAAAGAGTCTAGGACAACATTTTTGTGGTAGGAGACACCAAAGAAAGAAAGACTGAATTCAAAAAAGGTTTATGGGAGAAAAAGAAATTAATAAAATAAAATCCCAATGTAGCACCATGGGATGCAATAGCTCAGCGCAGAGCCATCTCTGTTCAGAGGACAGATGAAGTAGGCAAGGTGACCATCAGTCCTTTGATCACCACAGATAAAGCTCAAAAATGGCTTGACATTTGGATAACCTTTCAAACTGAACTGGAATCAAAGAACTGCTTTGTGCTTATTCTTGGCAACTCTAATTAAGCATCTTATGTACAACAAGGCGGGAGGGGTTGGGAGAGGGTACAATTCACAGACATCTAACCAACTACAGAATGGAGAACAAACACTAATGTAGTTCCAGAAGACTATAAGCAAGACAATATGGTCCATGAATGAACAGCTTTCCTTAATTACAGAATGTCACATGCAAAGACCAGGACTGAAAGACCACAAAAGCCATTTCTTTGTCTGTGTTTAATAACTGCATTTCCATGCAACTTTTGAAACCAAGTACTCTTTTAAAAGTGGCTTATGATGTGTCATCATGGCAGGAGTAACTATTTGTAGGATTTTTTTTAAAAAAAAATCTCGATTCTGAAAGAAATTTTGAGGATATTTTTTTTATTTATTAAATGTATACACCACCTACTCCATTCTGAGAAGCGACTCCAGAGGTATTCAGCCAGTTCTGACAGGTCTGAAAAATCAGTAGCGGAAATTTTGTGTAGCTCGGAGAAATGCAACCTCTGTCTGGCCCCGCCCCCATCTATTCTCTGCCTCCTGAGTCCCAACTGATTGGCTGGGTCTTCTTTTGTTCCCCGGAACAGGAGAATGGAGCTTGAAAGCAGGTTAGTGGGGTTGGGAGGGAATGAGATTTTGCAGTAACCTTACAGGAGTGGGGAGGGAATGGAGATTTTACAGTATCCCTCCCCTGCCGTGCCCACCAAGCCACACCCACCAAGCCACACCACACCCACCAAGCCACGCCCACAGAGCCGGTAGTAAAAAAAATTGAATACTACCACTGAGCGACTCTGGACAGTTTACCAGCGCAAGATAAAAGAATAATCTTGTAAAAGTTTTATTATAGGACATGGAAGCATCTGTGGGGTCCTTGGTGCTCTCTGAGCTTCGTTCCAACTAAGGAACCATTAAGACCACTCCCACCAATACTATCGTGTCTCTCACAAAATAAGGCAGGGCCTTATTTTTTTTTTGACCCCCGAAAAAACGGCTAGGCCATCTTTTCGGGGGTGACTTAATTCCCCCCTTGCATCCTTGGGTGGGCAGGCAGCGACAGCTTGGATGTTGACCTCGGTGTTGGTGGGGCACCATGATTTAGAGCAACGCCACGGCGTTTGGCGCAGTCATGCGCAGCCAGCCAGGGCTCCTCCCTGCAACCGGAGCCCTGCGGAGACACTCCGCTGCAGGCGCTCCTGTCGCCGAAGGCAAAGGGAAGGCAGCGACAGGAGCGCCTGAAGCCGAGCGTCTCAGCAGGGCTCCGGTTGCAGGGAGGAGCCCTGGCTGGCCGCTCATGGCTGCGCCAAACGCCGCAGCGTTGCACTAAACGCCGCGGCAGCACGGGGAGAAGGTAAAGCAATGCTGGCGGAAGGTCTCCCGATACGAAGTGCCCCACCAACGCAGGCAGCACCATATCTGGGTATGCAACAAAAGTACTTCCTAACGGCAAGCCCCCCCGCCATTCCTCCCCCATTTTGCATGTTTAATATAAGCCTTAATTTGGGGGAGGGGCTTAATTTGATTTTATGCCAATAAAACATGCTGGGCCTTCCTATTGGTGGAGGCCGTATTGTTGGAGAAACACGGTAGCAGGACAAGCCTCTGGTTATATCAAAAAGAATAAACTCCACTCCCTACTAGCACCGATGAAGGTATCTATTTTGGTAATGAAAAGTCTGCAAGAAAACAACCCAGTGCAGAGAGCACCAAAAGAATCTCACAGTTCAATCCTGAGCTACACATATTCTGTGCACCTGGGGTGCACAAGCAATGGAAAAGGTGGAGAAAGCAAACAAGGAAATGGAGTGCTATAATTCTGCACTCTTATTTGCCAATTACTTGGGAGTTAGCTAGTTATGTAAAAACTAATTATAAACGACAGAGAAAACTACTTTTCCCGGGCTCGTATTACACTAGCATTTAGATAGACCAGAAGGTGAACATTTAAAAGTCTGCCTGCCTTTAAACCTCTGTGAAATGAGAGAAAGAGAGAAAGCAACAAGCGGCACTTGCTATCATAGTTTTTAAGGATAATTTAAATATTTAATATAAGGATCATTTAAATAACGTGCCAGGCTCACCCAGGATGCCGCTTTGGAAGGGAGGTGGTATCGGGCATCTTAAGCAACCCGGAGCGGCCTCTCGGGTTCACCAAAGTCCCAAAGGCCGCCCGGGATGCTACAGACCCTCCTTAGGATTCCGCCTCACCGAAGCTCCGCTCCGACCCCGCAGAAATCCCGGAGAAACCCGAACTGCGGCGTTTGCCTGGCCGCTCAGCGGAAACTTTCTCCCTCGCACAATCAGGAGGAACGACACCAGGCGCTAGCGAGGACGAGGTAAAACCCGAGGAAAGGAAGGCGCTCTGTGCATGGTCAGTGGCGATCTTGTTACCCGGCGAGGGCACCTCCCGCTGGGAAAGCAGATAACGGGTCGCCCACGAGAGCTCCCTCTTTTCCCGCCTCACCATCTCCCACTCCCCCAACCACCGCCCGCGCGCGCACGTCAGTCACTCACCCCCTAACGGTCTCCCTTGCTCGCGCTTCTCCTCTGTCGCGCGCACCCTCCCGCTTCCCCACGCTACCGGCTTCCAGGCAAGCTCCGGCTAACCTCTAAGTGCGCAGGCGCAAATCAACCAACGTGGCAACTCCGGGAGGGAGGTGCGAGGTTCTTCCCTTCAGACGCAAGGGTGGTGAAAGCGACCAATCGGAAACCTCCATCGTTGCACCGCCTCACTCGTACCCTCGCGAGGTGGGAAAGTGGTATATGCCCGTCCACCCGGGGGCGCGCATGCGTGGCATTTTCTTTTTTTTTCTTTTTTCTTTTCGCTTGGCGCCCATCTTTCACCGTCGGTTTGTCTGTCCCGTTTGTGAAAAGAGTTTTCTAAATCTTCCCCCGTTCCGAGTTACTTTTTTGGAGAGTTTCGCGTTTATTTTCCCTTCATGTAAAGTGGTCTCAGGAAATACATACCAAGTCGCCGCGGTGGTGTGGTTTTTTTTGGGGGGTGGCCCCCCCCCCCCCCGCCCTTCAGCCATTTGCGAGTCTCGGAGACTGCCTGCAGTTTCCTTAGCAAGGTTTTAAATTATACCACGGTTAAATGATTTGAGTTGGCCGAAGTTAAGCCTATGGCAGGGATCTTCAACCTTGGCAACTTTAAGATTTGTGGACTTCAACTCCCAGAATTCCTCAGCCAACATGGCGGGCTGAGGAATTCTGGGAGTTAGGTTGGAGACCCCGGCCTATAGGGTTATTGGACTTCAACTCCCATAATTCCTGTTTAGCCTTGTGGTTCACGCAGGCAAGGGTCTGATCAGTGATGAAACATCTCAATGACCACTAGAGGCAGCAAAGAGCCAGAGTTCGCTGTATTCCTTGCCTTCTATTTGTAGCGGTTACCCGGATATTTGCACTTTCAGATTTGCTATGGTGTGAAAGTTGTGCATCTGCACAGTTCGTGCTAGATTCATAAGATGTGCCCAATTAAGGAGAACCTTTCCCAACTTGGTGGCATTCGATGTGTATTGAAATATATAATAATACCCATTATTTTGGCAGTGATTTGCTTTCCCAGGTTTGTTTCAATTTAGTTTCTGAACGTTTGGTTACTACCCTAGATAGCAGCAGCAGCAGCAGCATTTTCTTATCCTATTCTCCTTAGCTTATAAATGTCTTATTATTTTATTGGATTATTAAACAAAGGCATCACTGCTTAATATTTAGATGGGGGACCATCTAGGAACCCCAGGTTGGAAATCCAGAGACTGAAAGGAAAGCAATAGCAAATCACTTCTGTGAGGTTGCCAAGATAATTGCAAAGTTGCAATCTCATAGCATTTATGTTTTTTTAAATTCAGACCTCAAGACCATCGTAATGTATACTACTGTTCATTATTATCGTTATTTATCTTCATGATTGCTGATATGTTAACTCGTCACATGTGAAATGGGTGTCCATATAAAATGTTCAAACAAATAAAATGAATAAATCAAGCTGAAGCTGAGTACCACAGCATCTTTACCCTTTTATTATTTTAATCTGAAATTTAGGACAGGCATATAATCTACCTGTGAGCTACAGTTCCTTATCCCAGCTGGCATACAGAGGCATGAATAAATGTACGCAACAGCTTAGTAGTTCCATGATGGATTTCTTCCTTGCATCTTTTCTGGTCTTTCATCTTGTACTATTTCTTCATTCTCATGAGTCACCTATTACTATGGAAACATCCAAAATGATTCAACTTTTGATGAAGACAATCCATCAGCATAATCCAAATATTCATTTTTGGGCTAGGCACACCCAAAAGATCCCTGCTCTTTCTCCCACAGAGTTCAAATATTATTTGCAAACTCTATGGAAACAGTAAACTAGCCTTCCCCTGCTTGATACTTTCCCGTTATATTGGACTACATGTCCTATCATTCCCAACCTTCATGAACTTTTATTCTGTGCATTATCAAACAGGACCCAGTAAAGGATGAAACTCTTTAGTAGAATCCAAGGATTGAAGGATACAACATATTCCAAAGGGAAACACACCAGAGGCCAGTGAAACAGGAGTGGCCTTAATTTTCAGGAGTGGCCTTAACAACGAGAATGGTTAATCAATGGACTAGCTTGCCTCCAAAAGTTCTGGAGTTCCATCAGGTCTATTTACGTTGAGATTGT